GGCGTACGCATTTCCGCCTTTTGGCCGTACGTTCACTTTTAGTATGGTTTCCACGCAATCCTTTATAAATGAGACCCCTGTTGATGTTAAATTGCACCGGCATAGTTTACTCTTAAAGGGGGAGGAATGTGGTATCCTGATTTAATACTTGTGTTTTTGGTTGTGTTACCACCCAACACCACTACAGGCAGTAGCAGAGAAGAACCTAAAAAGCTACTGCAGGAGATTTAGAGCAGAAGAAGTTACCCTATGTGCTAAACAGAACTGTTACTCAAATTGTAAGCTGTGAAGAGCATTAAAAAATGTTTAAATATATCTACTGAGAGTGGACATCATTCYCAAGAGTGAAGATATCACAGGTACATTTTTTATTCATGAATGGATTGATGATCTGAACCTTTCAGAAAGCCCTTAGCTTGTAAGTGACATTTCTGTCTTCTTAATTAATTTTGTTAATTGAGTGTATGAAATTATTTTAGCACATGCACAAMTGAGCGTCTGGTGTGGATCATGCTTCCAGGACAGATAGGGCAGCCACATGCAGTCTGCTTCATTTGTACTTCTTCTTGTCTGTATTATTTTTTCAGTATTTCTTTATTGTACATTTATGCTCTCTGTATCTCAGTATTTTGGTATGTTAACTTGACTGTGTGTTTGTGTCTGAATGTACTGGTGCCTGTGACATCAAATTTGTGTAATAAAYATGAATGCATTTTTGGAAAGATAACACTAATAACTTATTACAACAAACATTTTATGCCACTGAGATGAACAGGTGTTGAGATATTCACGTGAAGTAAAAGGAAGTGATGTCTAAGGGGAATGTCTAAATTAAATAGAGCATTACTACAGTACAATGGATAGACTGTAGAGAAAAATCTGATATTTCTTTAGATTATTTTAAGTCACTATCAGAGATCAAACAATGTTGCTTTAATAAGCAAAGACCAGAGAATTTGATTTCTTAAAGAGTTCCCCTTTGATGTCACTTCCTGTTTGTTTTGTCCAAGCCAAATTCAAAAGAAAATGTTCCAGTTATGTGACAAAATGAATAAAACTGTGTTTTATGCCAAGTTTCAWAAATACAAAGCTTTTTTTCTTTGACTTTCTGTATTTGAAGGATATGCAGGTCACATGCATTTTAATAATCAGGTTAGGGAGTGATTGTAAAAATGAGGAGGCTGTTGACTTTGTATTTATTAAAATCTATGTGTGCAGAACTGGTTAGATGTGTGTTTTTGATAAACGTCTTTCTTTCTTTTAGTTTTACACTGTAAAACAGCTTGATCTCTTGATAGAGCTGCAGGTGGTGCAACAAAGAATCCATTTCCAATCTGAACTATCTAACAATGAGGGGGCTGTGGYRGAGTGGTTAGAGGAGTTGTACCCTAACTGAAGGGTTGCTGGTTCAACCCCCCATTCTAGCCGTCTCAGTCCTTGGGCAAGACACTTCACCCTCCTTGCCTACTGATGGTGGCACCAGTTCATAGCAGCCCTGCCTCTGTCAGTGTGCCCCRGGGCAGCTGTGGCTACAGTGTAGCTTACAACCATCAGTGTGTGAATGGGTGAATGACTGTAGCGTAAAGCAGAGGTTCTCGAACTGGGGTCCCAGGACCCCCAGGGGTCTGTGAGAGGTATCTTGACGGTCCTCAGAAAATGTCACTAAATTGTTAATTTGGTTTTTATTTTTAAAAATGCATGGAGAACAATGAACTAATAAAACAAACATAATAAACTTAATAGAAATATATATTCCCATGGCATTAAGGGGTTGAAATGACAATAAATTATCTTTTAAAACAGCATAGGGTTTAGAAGGGGGTCCCTGGAATTTTTTTTGCCCTTGTAAGGGGTCCCCAGACCCAAAACKTTTTAGATTCTCTGGTGTAAAGCACTTTGGGGTCCAAAGGGAATAGATTTAGCACTATTATAAGTTCAGTCCATTTACCATTTTAACATTCAGCCTTGTGGCCTTCTTGTGTAAAGTTTGCATGCATGCTAGGTGAAATGGTGTTTCTAAACTGAGCAGGAGTGAGTGTGAGTGTGATGGTWTGTCTGTCAGCTGGAGGGTGTATCCAGCCTATCACCTGAAGACTGCTGGGTTTAGCTCCCTCAACAGCTCTCTCTTTTTRCTACCTGCTAAAGACCATGTGGATTTGCTTTTGTTATTCTCTGTATAAGACCATTTCATATTTTGAAKGTGCATGGTACATCATGCTCCACCGCTTCATAAGCCTTCACCACTGGACATCTTCTACTCTCACCTGACAAAAGCCAGCAAAGCCAGTGTGACTACAGGTTTAGCAAAGTGCTCCATGCTCTGGTGAACCACAATGCTGTCTATAGCCTTCCCATAGTAGAACGGAATGAAAGCTTCACCTAGAGAGAAGGGAACAAGGATCAGTTTGACATTTATTAATAATATTATCTGAAAAAAAAGTCAAATTAGAATTGTATAATTAGAAATGGGGACTGTTTACTTGTAATAATTGGCTTGACAAAACTGTTTACATAAGCTATGAATGATTGCTGGATGTCATTGAGTTAAATAAATTGTGTTATCACTAGCTCCTAAACCTTTGTTACAGAAGCTGTTGCAGCTAGTCCAAATGTAGCTAAAACCAAAGTGGGCTAGTGCCATTAAAAAAGCTCCAGTCTTAAGCCCCAAGGGGTTTTCTTGAAGTTTTTGCTCAAAATACCATGCTGAAATGTAGCTGAGTGTATCTCAGCATTTTCAAACTCTATTTAAGTAAACTTGGTATCAAAATAAAGCAACACTTGGGAGATTTCATCAGAAGTGTTAGTATTAAAACAGCTGCTCTGGTTTTAGAGAGATTGGGGATGGAAGATATTTTTTCACTTTCACCTGAATATTTTTTTTCATTAGACAGTACTGTATATAACCCATTTAAAACCATAATGAATCAGGCTAGAAAACTCTTGGAAATCCATAAATCCACTTGTGGACATTACCTGTGCAAAGATTCATGCTGCTAAAATTAACTGGAGCAAAGTTACAGAGGTTTAAGTAAATAAATAATTTTGTGTTTTGTCATTCTGCACAGAACAGACCATGATGGTGCCATTAATATATGTTAAGAATGTTAAGTTTTTACATCCAAAACTTATTTATTTTATCTTACCTGCCTGAAAAGACTTGTTATTGAATGTTTGTTCTTTTGAAAAGTTATCTAAACATTTATTTTGTCACCATATACAGT